AGCACGTATTGGAGACAATCAAACGCTCATGCAGGTGCCAGGCGACGTGACGTCATTGATGGTGGCCTATGGCCTTGCAATGTGTTGCTGCACGTGCAGCCTGTGCAGCTGCACACAACATGTGAAACTCAGAAATTGCTGACACTGTCGAAAGCTTGATCTTTGGTCATTCAAACGTTCACAAATTCACATGAGAAGTCACATGCAGATCATGCCAAAATTAACATCTGCTCAACGTCACGATACCATTGGAATGGTTCGAGCAGGCCTGAGCTAACAACAGGTGGCAGCACATTTCCAATGCCATCGTAACACGATATCTGCATTGGTCAGGCGTTATGGAAACAGTAATGACGTCGCCGACCACCAACGTTTTGGGCGTCCCCGAGTAACGACGCCAAGACAGGACAGATGGATTCGGGTGAATAATCTCAGACACAGGTTCCAGACGGCAGTGACCACGTCCCAAACCATTCCCCAGGCCTTCAATGCTCATTTGGTAGCTTATATGCGTCGTCGATGCACTGCTGTGCTTCACGCGCATGATGGTCATACCCGTTATTGACTTTGTGACTTCGTCGTGTGACCCCCTACTCAAATTTGAACTTCTGACATCATCGTTACGGATATTGTTCATGTTCTTTTGACATGTTGTGGCCCGATACTTCAGCTTATAAAGTGTCTACATCATTTCGTCTTTTCTGTGTTGTATTCCAATTCTGAAGGAATTTTCTGTGTGCACAGTTTCTTTATGTGGCTAGTAGAATGATAAGGATCTCTAATTACTTCAGCCCTTAGCATGTAAAAGCGAGTCCATTTATCGGCATCGGGTACGAAGAGTTTGTATTGTGGATTATTCATGATGAAAACGGGAGCGACTTGAGGCGATGTGTCACTGTCACTGGTCCACGGCTAAATGAAGCTAGATAGCCCTTGTGGTCTGTTATATATAGATATCCAGGGGTTTGAATTGACCTTTCATGGCTTGGTGTAGCTTTCAACATCAATGCCAGGATGTTTTTGGATGGTCATACATGCTCTTTCCCCGGATTGACAAACTAAACCTAAGACAGGTGTACCAGATGTACTAAGCCAATGCTCTATCAAACAACCAGGCATTTTGAATGGCCTCATCTCTAAGTGCACTGACAAACTGTGGTTTCAAAACAAATGCTACGATAGGCATGTAACTGGCAAAAAGACTCTTCCACATACTGTCTGTCGTCCACAGGGGGTGAACTAATCTTCGTAACACAGCTAGATAGTTATTCCTATCATTTTTCCTCAGGAAATGACGCCTTTCATATCAAGTCACTGGTAATCTTCCCTTTAATAACCTATTGATAATACCATTGACGGCAAGAATCTGTTTTCTGTTCATTTCTAAGATGTCTTGTCGAATCTCCTCAATGTCTTGAAACATTAACATGAACCTTAAACATTTGTAATGTTTCAACACGTACCTAGCCATAATAATTCTAGCAAACAAGCTCTTATCGTGGTTGGGATCTCAATGAGATTAGTATTTGAGTAAACCTCTATTTATACATAGACAACCAATGCATATATATACTCTTAACATTGATTTATTTCTAATATTCACAAATTTTACATCGCACTCTTGGTTGCAAATCCACATGACTACCCCTGCGGGCCATATGTTTCTGAGGTACTCCCACCAGGGCCAAATACGGACTGTCTGGAGACCACTTTTCATGTTTTACCCAGGGATCATCATCTGCTTCCCAGTTCTTGAGAATGACACCACATTGAAAACACTTGCAAGTGTCCCCTCTGATTAAGTACACAAATCCTGCCTGGGCCATGTGACTAGGACTCTGTTTCATCTGCACTGGCCAGTCCTTAAACATATCGAGTCTTTTCTGGAATGAAGTCCATTCAGTACTGATTTCACAGCAATCGGCAACGACAGTCTTGTCGAGTGGGTAATGTCCACACACATCCGTGATATTCCAGATCGGAGCTCACGTCCGCACAGTTCAGTGTCTAAACCAAGAATGGCTTTACACTCTTGACTTATAGTCTACTATATAGGCTATGGGAAGTCTAAAAGTAGCCATCATCTAAATAGAGCCTGTTACTAGGGGCCTTTTCTAAAAATAGACTCAAACAATAGGTCATGGCGTCATAAAATCCTGAATGAAGTCGAAAACAATGTTCGCAATTGTGAGGTGGATGTTCTTGACTGACTGACTGAGTTTGGTTTTACGCCGCTTTTAGCAATATTCCAGCAACATCACGGCGGGGGACACCAGAAATGGGCTTCACACATTGTGCCCATGTGGGGATTCGAACCCGGGTCTTCGGCGTGACGAGCCAACGCTTTAACCACTAGGCTACCCCACCGCCCCGTGGATGTTCTTGCAAATCGTCAGTACTGTTTCACCTTTTATAGCGTAAGCAGTAGTGTGTTTCGACTGATTATAATCTTGCTCATTGAGCCCACATTCAAATGCATATTGACCTTCATTCCGGTCATCTTTAGTGCTAAAACACGATACGTTCACTCGACCCATGGCGCGGATGTCTTCTTCATCACATATTTCTGGGCAAAATCGATTGTTCCACAGTAAATCCTGAAAAAATTGAAAACAAATATAATCACGTGTCACATAAATATGCCATTCTACCATGAATCAAGAAAATACTAGATTCTGATTGGTTGTTCAGAAAAATCAGACGGCATCAATTGTGGATTGACGCTCATCTGATTGTAAGGCCGCTTCACCGCGCATTAACGAATCTTATTGTGAGAACTACTTCCGTTTGACCATAATGATGGCGGATCATAACAACAACTCCATGGATTTTGACGCTGACTTTCGAATTTTCCACATAGGCAATTGGAAATTTTTTGGATTAAAAATGATTTTGATTTCATTGCGCTTCACTTCGCACGCATAGAACGCTGCCGCACTACTTCAGCTTGACCACCAAAATGACTAATATCAACACAACAGACGTGATGGAAATGCTGACAAAACATTTATTTAAACTCGAAAAATACAATTATATGATTTCCCCCACACAATTATGAGGGAACCTCACTATCATATTACCTTCTATTATAAAAATATTCAAACTCAATTACAATACACAGCCCCAAAGATAAACAAAACAATATCTAACATATAAATCAGAAAGCCTTGTAAAAATACATCCCTATCTATGCAAAATATGCAGCAAAACATTAGTAAACATTTACCTACCTGGTAAATGGTATATTTAATTCCGTTTAGAATGGGAAATTTGCAAGATAGATCTAACGGTCTGGCGAAACACCACATTTATGCCACTCATAGTCATACTCCATCATATCCCGTTGGCGTTGCATCGTTCACAAAATAATTCTGCTCTCTGCCAGCTTCCCCCTGCAAGGTTGTCACTGTTATGTTCATCTACTTTGGAAATCGCTTGGACACAGTCCAGTCCCAAACGACGAAAACAAAGTTCCAAGGAATCACAAGTTAGTCGCATGTACACTAAGCAGCAGCACTGTCACTCTGTTGTCGCATGCCGGGGTGGGGGCAGTACGTGAAATCATGATCGGCCGGTCATAAAAATCAACAGTCTTTGATGAGTAACAGGTCGTAGGTTGATCAGGAAAGGATCTATTCTTCGATTCTGCAGGGTTCAGATTCGACAGTCAGTCAAGTATTGTCCACTGTCACTTCAAATTTCAACCTTTCGCAAAATGTAAACACTGGCTCGTCCGCCATTTCAAACTGTTGCGTAACTGTCTACTTCGAAGAAAATAAGTAGGTCAGACGATTCCATTATAGTGTGGCCAGGGGGGCTACAGTTTCACGGCACACAAAACAATAGGCTGATTTTAGTCGTGTGGAGATGGGATGAAAAAACACAAGATCTTGGGTATTACATAATTGCATTGAATAAACAGTAGTTTGATTTCTTTGGACAGAATATTGTTATGTTGTAATGTTAAAAAAATACGAACGGCACCTACCGCTCCCTTCACAGACGAGTTCAATTCGCCTCTCGTCCCATGCCGGATTACGCAGTGTCTTCCGCAGAGCGAGGAAGTTCGATTTTAAATGGGTCATGGTAGAATGGAGATAACCCTAGTGTGTTTGAAAATCAGAGACATGTTTTACTGAATTGATGGCGACTAAATATTTCAATTGAAACCTCACGCTACGCGTTCGGTTCCAATTGAAATTTAGTCGCCATCAATTCAGTAAAACATGTCTCTGATTTTCAAACACACTAGGGTTATCTCCTAATTCATATACAGAGACTGTTTGTATTTCTATTTCAATCAGCAGATATCTCTAGCCTGACGAGTAAAAAGTAAAACATACAAACGAAAAGACGAAATGAGGTCTATTTTTAAAACCAATGAATTTTCTTAAAATGTTTACTTTGCACATGTCAGGTGTATCGCAAAGGTCTTCTAACTTCAAACTAGCGTAGTCATCACCCCAGACATGGACAATGAACAGCATACGCGAGGCAGTGTCGGAGAGCAGCTCCCCTTGTTTTTGTTTTTTCTCTAAGATTTTAATTAAATCCTTTCTGTTTTCTTTAATACTAGTCATGTCCATTTTCTATCTATAAACAGCCAACAGCCAGTAGAGTCAAGAGCATACAACGTTTTTTCACGGAGAAGAGACTTTCTCTCTGGCGACTGAATAACATGGGGACTGTTCGGGGGCCTTTTATTGCCCACACACGAGTCTAAACATACCTCTGGGAAAGTTGTTTATCCCAAGGTCAGCTCGTTACATTGCCTCCCTGTGAAATGAGGTCAACCTGAACGTCACACACACACACCTGGGCCGGAAAGGGGACTCCCAAAGGAGGGTGGGGCTTAAGGGTTCAACAGTCGATTAGGTCACACAAAGGTCACACCTATGTGACGTCATAAAATCAAAATGGCGGATTTGGGCTTCAACACACACACACACCCTTACAACACACGGCGGACCAAAGGGAAGCCGAACACTGCCTGTATGTTGATGCCTCGGCCGCCCAGAAGGAAGCCGAACACTGCCCGTATGTTGATGCCTCGGCGGACCAAAGGGAAGCCGAACACGGCCCGTATGCTGATGCCTCAGCCACCCAGAAGGAAGCCGAACACGGCCCGTATGTTGATGTCTCGGCCGCCCAGAAGGAAGCCGAATACTGCCCATGTTGATGCCTCAGCCGCCCAGAAGGAAGCCGAATACTGCCTGCATGTTGATGCCTCAGCCGCCCAGAAGGAAGCCGAACACGGCCTGCATGTTGATGCCTCGGCCGCCCAGAAGGAAGCCGAACACTGCCCATATGTTGATGCCTCGGCCGCCCAGAAGGAAGCCGAACACGGCCCGTATGTTGATGCCTCGGCCGCCCAGAAGGAAGCCGAATACTGCCCATATGTTGATGCCTCGGCCGCCCAGAAGGAAGCCGAATACTGCCTGCATGTTGATGCCTCGGCCGCCCAGAAGGAAGCCGAATACTGCCCATATGTTGATGCCTCGGCCGCCCAGAAGGAAGCCGAACACGGCCTGCATGTTGATGCCTCGGCCGCCCAGAAGGAAGCCGAACACTGCCCATATGTTGATGCCTCGGCCACCCAGAAGGAAGCCGAACACGGCACGTATGTTGATGCCTCGGCCGCCCAGAAGGAAGCCGAATACTGCCCATATGTTGATGCCTCGGCCGCCCAGAAGGAAGCCGAATACTGCCTGCATGTTGATGCCTCGGCCGCCCAGAAGGAAGCCGAACACTGCCTGTATGTTGATGCCTCGGCCATCCAGAAGGAAGCCGAACACGGCCTGCATGTTGATGCCTCGGCCGCCCAGAAGGAAGCCGAATACTGCTATGTATGTTGATGCCTCGGCCACCCAGAAGGAAGCCGAATACTGCCTGCCACCCAGAAGGAAGCCGAATACTGCCTGTATGTTGATGCCTCGGCCGCCCAGAAGGAAGCCGAACACGGCCTGTATGTTGATGCCTCGGCCGCCCAGAAGGAAGCCGAACACGGCCTGTATGTTGATGCCTCGGCCACCCAGAAGGAAGCCGAATACTGCCTGTATGTTGATGCCTCGGCCACCCAGAAGGAAGCCGAATACTGCCTGTATGTTGATGCCTCGGCCACCCAGAAGGAAGCCGAACGCTGCCCGTATGTTGATGCTTTGATGCCAGTTGACGTCGATCCGGTCTGTGGTATTCCAGTGGTAACATTTCTGGAGTTCAGTTAACCGAACCTTGTTTTCTGTCCTATGCCAAAATCGAGTGTGAAATGCTTGGTGTTTTGACATAGTGGCAGGGGACGAAATACAGGGGACGAAATACACACAGTTTTGTATGTGTTATATAATTACGTGCTGCACGTGCCCAAAACGTCAAACCAGACATCGAGACAACGTTCCTGCGTTCTGCTTAAATCAAAATTAATGATAATACAAAAACTAAACAAAACGTGGAAATGGCAAAACCCACAACGTTTGCGTTTCTTTTGTCGTTAGGTAGATATTGACCAGACAACGAAAGCCATACTCAGTTATCATTCAGTCACGGATCTACATACTGACTTCCTTGAGACAGTATAATAACACTAGCGGCCCTCTCCACACAACCGCGTTTCTTGTCCTGTCCTAAAGGGTTACAAGGGTTCTCAGATGAGCATTATATTGGCATTACACATGTCTACTTCTTCAGTGGATGCTGGTTGAGTTCCTACTTGATGTAGATATTACATGTTTTTATTGGTAATCCTATTGTAGTATTTAAGAAGGTGGATAAAAGACCTCGAAGCAAAACATACTAAATTCTTGGTGTCATCAAAGGTCAATTCGTTTCTTTTGAATTGCTATTTAAAATGCTTTCAATGAAAAATACTGAATCTTAACTAATTATGAATGATATGTACATGTATGTAACACGTGATATTGTGTTTTGCCCAGATTAAGCTGTGTTGCCGGGATAACAACAATGTTTATGATTCTCATTTCAGACCAAAGGACTATAGCGTGGGTTTTAGAAAAGTATACAGTACAGAATTGAATGACAACATCTGAATGATGTAAGCGTTTACTTTGAATTTCCGTAAAACATGTGACATACGTTGTATTTGGGATTACACTTTCTTGGTAAAGTACAGATTCTAATACTCTTGTTGGGTTGAGTCCCATCCGGGCACCTAATCGCCAGCACACCGCGACTTCCACTGTAAAACATATAAATATAAATCGTTGTCTATATAATTGTTATTCTTTTGATAAAAGGTAAACTCTGCATATGATCAACGTCTTATTAATCTTCCTGAAACAGTTCAGTATGAACTTTGGAATGTCATGTGTATGGTAAAGTTAACATTAGACAAAGCCACTGAAGTGTTGAGTTCAGCCATTGAACTTCACATGTATATGGTATAATGTCAAAGGCCAATATGATAAGTGACAGACCTAACCAATCACTTTCTTGGGATTTCATATTCGAGAAATTCGGTTTGGGGGTTAATTCAAGCGGGAATTAAATCACCGGGTATCCCAGAAGTCAGTGTCTTGTGTGTAATATACTCATGCCAAAAATGGTTGTCACCCCGATTGTGTTGGAATTGATTGTTTTTTCTGATGCTTTTAAATGATTAAATTAATTGATCCTTTGGATAATTACTTATTTCTGTCTGAAATAGATTGCATGCTATTGCAAGGTACCTTTAAATATTTTCAAATGCATTCCTTAAATACTCTTCAGAAGATGGGTATAACATCTCTAAACATAAGGCAAACTGTATTATTTTATCAGAAAGAACTTATCTCTAAAGAAAATACAGACGTGAAACTTGTTCTTTCCAAGGTTTTAGAAAAAATATAAACGAATTACCTTGTCAATACAATATATGGCTCAGATACTGAAGATGTGACGTAAATTTCAGTCACTCATGCTTGCTAAACATCAGTTGTATGATGTGTGATACACGTCAGTTTGTTAACAAGTATGTCTGTATATCCTCTCTGAATCCACCTTCCTTTAACACGCTGGACAAAATCGATATCCACAATACTATCAATTCGTCTAATTAAATCAATCAACCTTCATGCATATATCATCATTATTACTGCTTCAGTCTGTTTCATAACACCCTGTAGCCGTCCTTTGTCAGTCGAACAAATAGGTCAAGGTTGTTCGACTTCGAGTGCATGATTATCAAACTAGTGGCAGTCAAGATGGCATTGAACTTTTCACCATAGGCATGCTCCGGAAATATACTACTAGTAAGTCTTCACATGGAGTGGGTCTGGTGACAAGTGACCACATGTTGAAAATGTTTCAGGAATTTCCTGGCGTCAACTTCTTGACACAGTGACGGATATAATAACACACATGTGTCTCCTACGTCCATCTTTGAGGATCTGTTATACAAGGCTTAAAGGAGACTTTTTCCTGACCTCATTCTTTCATAAGAAATATAGATTAAAGTCTTCTTATGTACCAGCTGCGGAAGTTTGGTATCGTTTCACTCTTGTTTTAAATCTATTTCTTACAAACTTCTCAATCACTCTTAATGACATCCGTCTAATTTTCAGATGATTGGTTTTCTCATCAAAGATTTGCTTGGAGGTTGATTGTAATTGATTGCAAATAATTGCATTGTTTTCTTATTAAAGTCCTTTGTGATATTGATTTAATACACGTAATGTTATCACACTCTCAAAAAAATATAAGGTGAAATTAATCCGTCATTTGCCTTCTTTTGAACTTTCAAACGTTTTGTTCATGATATAGTCGAAAATGTAAATTGATTCTGCCTGGTTTGTGAATGCATTATGAAGTATTCAATGTGGAGTATAGATTGAATTAATGCGATTCTACACAGCTTTCGGAACCGTGAAGTTCCAGGTGTAATTCGCCTTAAGCAACCCATGCATGTCGTAACAATGAGTAAGGTTTACTCCGCTTGTTGCATTATTCTAGCAACATCACGGCATCGAACCCAAGTCTGCGGTGGTGGGGTAGCCTAGTGGTTAAAGCGTTCGCTCGTTACGTCGAAGACCCGGGTTCGATTGCCCACATGGGTACAATGTGTGAAGTCAATTTCTGGTGCCCCCCGCCGTGATATTGCTGGAATATTGCTAACAGCGGCGTAAAACGAAACCCACTCACTCACTTCGGCGTGGAGCGAACGCGACTAACGGAATCGGATGGTTGATGCATATCATCGTTTATTACCCACCTGGTCAACGTATGGGTAGTTACATATTAATCTCGTACGTCACACGAGTGTCGTATCGCGTTGACCTGTGTCGTAACGACTTGACCTGAAATTCTAACGATTTGATTGGATAACCGATGACCTCTCAATTAGGTCACATTCTGACGTAACTATTTTTTCATTCATAACAAACACGTGAATTCATTCATTCTACAACTTAAATGCATTGTGTGAATGTAAACATTGCGAACGCTGCCGTGTCGCTGTTTAATTGTGAGTCGAACTGAGACATTATATCCGTCGAAAAACATAAACGCAATGTTTCCACCAGTGATGTTAGCCGAATGAAGCAACTGGAAACCAAGAAACGAGGTGCAACGGAGTAGTTTACTGTAGGAGGCTGTACGAGGCGACGACAACTGACATGCATCGTGACGTCGGTTACCATCGCAGTGACGTCATTAGTGTGACGTCATGCAAATATTGTACTACAGTACAAAACTCTTCCGCAACCTCTTTATGAAACTGGTTTTTGTTTGAAACCAAAAACATAACAAAAATACGCTATTTTGTCAATTTAAATGCATGTAAGACGTGGGTAATAAATAAAATACCACACTCGGTCTCATAACATACGAATTATACGAAACTCGTGACCTTCCTATGTTATCTGACCTCGCTTTCGCTCGGTCAGAAACCATAGGAAGGACACTCGATTCGTATAATTCGTACGTAATGAGACCTCGTGTAGTATTCTCTATATTCCAAATGTGCAGACTGATGCACAATATGCAATCATTTCAGAGTGGAGGAAGTAGAAATGATTTCCATGCACCTTTACACTAACGGGAAAATAAATCCCCAAAATATAGTTATAAAATATACATTTGTTGTCCATAAACTGTCTAAAATTATTGAGCGTTAATAAGCTACTCAATCGTTTGTGTAACTCTGCAAAGCCTTAGATATCAACTAAAATGTGAAGCATTTCATCACTCCATGTGCAAAGCCAGAGAGTAAAGTACCCAAAGACTTAGATTGGGTATTAGATATTCTGTAATGTTCCTATGAAGTTGAAGTTTGTCTATAAATAACTCGGCTTTTCATTGGTCGCCTATGATACATTTACTTTATTTGTTCTTTCAGTCTAGTATCCACGTGCTGATGTGGAGTGAGAAGTCGAATCATTTTGTGTTCTGAATGAACGAACTGCAACTTCATTAATATTTCATATCCATCCATCCATCCATCCATCCATCATCCATTGGTGAGTTGCATGTGTGGTATGTATCAGCTTGTTCGTGTTCGAAACTTTAAAACCAGCCAGCTGACCGCGGTAATGTAACTCACCGCCTGTGATCCACTTCAACTGATATTTCTGCACTCTTACAACTTACATAACTGTTGACTCTCATTTGTTAAACTAATGAATTAAATGCGTTTCTGTAAGAAAAACAACAACACTTTTCTTACATTTTGTCTGTCATCTTGTGTTTGTTTAAATGTAATTAAGTAATACATTTGAATGGTTAAAGCGAGCTATATCACACAATCCGATGTGCCGTGAAAAGGTGACTTGCTTATTTTTGTTTCCGGATTCATTTGTTTTGGGTTACTCCTGCTAGAAATTTCGAAAGTGGTTAGGTAAGAGACATACGTTCCCGGCAAACTGGAAACTCAGTAAAGATGAACCATAATTCCTCGTAGCTCGTTTGTTATTCTCATGGTATATCTTGCTTTGTCAGGTTACCGGAGCCGTTATAGACTGCCTCGTAGAGCCTAGTTTCAGGTTTATCTTAAAAGATATCTCGTGAAAATAACCAGATTTGACAGATTTGAAAGGTATCATGCATAAGCCTTCAGGGGAATATGTGACTTTTGATGAACAAATGCCAAACAAGTTTGGTTGTCATAAATATTGTTAAGAACCAATACTCTTCTTGTAATGGAGCAGCCACTAAAGAACGTAACATGTCTATGGTCATATTTCTTTAATTAAGACCATAAACGATATTTAGTAAAATACATAAAAACTTTAGACTT